TATATATATATATATTTTTTTTTTCTTTTTTTTTTTTTCTTTACTTTGGCTCTTTCGGGAAAATGCATTAACCAAAAAATAAATAAAAAATGGCTCTTTGGTCAAAAAACGTTCCCGACCCCTGGTCTAGTTCAAGCACTCTCAAAAACTCCCATTAAAATCACTGATGCTGTTTATACTGTGAAATTAATATCTTACAGATTCGTACACACATTTGCACTTTGTAGTTTCTGACGAGAGAATTCGCCAGAAAGAGGTATTCAGACAGCGAGCGAGTGAAGAAAACACCGGCATTTTTGCGATGACTCATCTGCGCCAGCCAGCGAGCGCAGATTTGAATTTAAGAGCTGATGATATGACGCACTGAACGTTCTAATCACGCCGGTGTGATTGTATTAAATATAGAAAATATTAATCGGCTATTTTTTGTCTTTTGAAAGCTGCATTCAAAATCCACTTGGCTCAAAAATCTGAGGGGGCACGTGCCCCCTCACTTTGTATGGGCATGACGCCTCTGATAACAATGATATGGTGAAAGACAGATTCCAGCTCAGGTTATTGGGCTCCTAAAAACTGTTGTGGCAGACCTTTTCATATTTGTAAACATCCCTTATGAAAATTAACCATGGTTTTACTACAAATAAAACCATGGTTACTATATAAACAATGGTAACCACAGTTTGACCATGGTATAACAATGGTAGATATGGTCAATACGCAAAAAAAAAAAAAAGGTTACTACCATTTTACAATAATAAAACCATGGTTAATTTTTACAAGGGATCCCTAAAGTGTAAGACCGCCATGTATAGCATGGTTGTCAATGTCCTTTACTATACTCTTAATAGTTGTGTAATGGGCCCACGTGATGCACGGTTTGTCCAGGAGCTCAAAAAGATTTCAGAGCCTTCTGGGCATTTTCGTTGGGCGGCGCTGAATGGTAACAAAACCATACCCACGGAAGAGGCTGGCTTTTCAATCTCTGCACACTCGCACAGAACAAGTGGGTCCAAATCGAACATATTGTATTCAACATTTGTTCAGTCACATTTGGGTAAACATTACTCACAACTAATGTCCCAGGCTGGTCTATCTGTTGACCGTTTTGCTTTTTTGAAAACCAGTTGTAGAATGTTGTCATTTTGATTGTCCTTTGAAAAAGAGCTATTTCAAAAAGCTCTTCGTACAAAGCAAAATCACTCTTTAGAACTCACAAACGCAGTGTTCAAGTCACAGTTTCTGTATCTGAGAAGAGATGCCTCTGTCAAACAGATCATATAAACTTACAGCTTAACTCCTTTTATCCACCTTATTTTTCAGCGCGGAAGTAAGCCGTTTTCTGTGAATGTGTGAGACTTCAGGTTCATTAGCCACTGTAGAGAAATAACGAGAAGAATAAGAAAGTGCAGTAAACGGTAGAACTGCTTGTGCTACAAACTATTAGCTCCATACAAACCAGTGTGTTCATAATTAAGATAATATATTAAAATAATATGGTAAGACACACCAGTTTGCAATAGCAAGCAGCAAAACAAGCGGTTTTGTACAGCTAAAAATAGCTGAAAGCGGATGACACCAGAAACCAGACACATAAAATTGACAAATGGCTCGTTCAGCGGTCTCTTTTCCTTTCAACGGCTTTCAGCCTCACCCTGCTTCATTCTACTACGTTAATAAATCATTAGCTCATCCATGAACATGATTTCTGCCCGAGTCCCGTCGGATTGCATCGGCTGTGAGGATGAAGACGACAACTCCCATGATTCCACACTCAGTCACGGCGTCATCAAACTACACCTTTGTTTATTTTAAATACGCGCCCTCTAGCGGCGAAAATTACATATTGTGCCTTTAAACAAAACACATCACATTCAAAGCAAAAGATTGAACAACTTACAAATTTCAATTGTTTAAAAAAAAACTATTTACATTTAAGTATATAAAATTTTGTTAACAAGATAAGAAGATTAAGTAAGTATATTTTGTTTTTCTGTAAATGCACTTTTTTCCAATTAACAAATCCAAACAAAACATTTTCCCAAAGTAAAGAAAATTCTTTGTCAATATTATCATGAACAAATAAGGAACAGTCTTTACACAACAATTTAGAGTAATGGCAGTGCCAAAATAAATGCACTATAGTCTCTGGGTGCCGTTTACAAAAAGAGCAGTTTGTATCAATATATTTTTTTTTTGTATTTCTTTAAGAAAGTATTAACAGGATATATACGATAGATAATTGGAAAGGAAATTATTTTATCTTATAAGTAATTATGTATCTATTCAGAATCAGCCAAACTTTCCTCCAGGCAATATCAGAAACAAAAGCATTCCAATAAACTGTAACATTTGGAATTTATACAAATTCATTAAGAAATAACAAACGTATTGATTTATAAGAAGAAGTGGCTGAAAGGCAATGTTTCTAATAGTAGGATGGGGTGTGGATTGATTGTCAACGTTCTAAAAATGATGACATCACAACATTGACATCACCGCATGACAGCGCATTCTGTGAGCGATATTTTTATATTAAAATATATTACATTTTTAAAACCTATGTTGTGTCTTATGATGTTATCCACTATGCTGCCACTAGAGACGGTGGATACGAGAGTGTTGTGTGAAAGTTAGTGTAAATAGCAGAAGTTAAAAGAGAACATGCTTAAAGTTTTACATGGCGTGGTGGGTAGGTGGTTTCGGAAAGGCTAGCAATAGCAAGCTAGCTTTGAAAGCAAGATCCCCACCCTCCCTGCATAATCCCTCTCCAAAGCCACGCCTCCTCCAAACCTCATGAACGCGCACAGGCAGACCAGAGGCTAACCAGCGACACGATGAGAGACTGCCTTGGTGGAGGGTTGAATGCAACGCTGTCAGATGACCTCACTTCTCATTCATCGGTGAGAAAACATCACAGTACAAAACGCATAATATTATAATAATAACGCCTTTCATTCTCGTTGGAACGCACTGATGACGTATCATGTCTGCACAGAGGTATGCAAATACATCATTTGACAGGCAGGCAGGACAGCCTATCGTAGTCCTCGGACCGAGGAATATGATTGGACGCACATTTTATGGTCCTACGCCTTCCACAGACAATATAAATACATATTAATACATTTGGACCACTAAAAGGTGAACTAAGCGAATTTTGCCAAATGATGTTGACATTTGAAAGCACCAAAACAAACACTCCCATAGCCCAACAGGACCTTGCCCCTAACTCCGCCCCACACGTACGTACACATGGCAGCGACAATGGCTGAATCTTTTTTTTTTAAATTGCTTTATTAATTCAATGCCACAAGCACAAGAGGTATTACATATTCACATTATTATATTAAAGGAAAAGAGAGAGAGAGAGAAACAAACACCCCACCAAACCTACAAAGGAAAAGGAAAGAGAAAGAAATGAAGAAAATTACATAAATTTCAGTGCTTTCAAAGCATTACATGTTTTCAGCGCTTTTTGGTTTGTTCTAAGAGATTTACATATAACTTAAAATCATTCATAAAATGTGAAGAATTTGATTTACATTGAGCCCACTTCTTTCAGTATGTATATGGTATTTTCCTAATAAAATAAACAAATGTATAATATGTTGTTCTTTACATTTCAAATTTTCATTCTCTGTATAGAGAAGCACATCGAATATACAAATTTCTATCATACACTCCAGTTTTCTATTAATATAGAATTCTAAATCCTTCCAAAATAATCTTGAGTAAATAGTTAAAAAAACGGATGCAAAATAGTTTATTTTTCTTGACCACAAAATTCACAGGTATATGAAATATTGAGTTTAAATCTTTCCAAAACGTGCTTAGCAGGATCAATTCTATGAATTATTTTGTAAGACACTTCCTTAATTTTGTTATTGATGCAGAACTTATTTGGCAGTTTCCATGCTTTAACCCAAGAGATATTACCAAACAAAGAAGACCAAAAAATCTTGCTGCAGGTAAAGACACAGAACAAAGAGCATTCCTTATAATCTTGTTGCTACACTGTTGTTTTAAAACATCAACATTTTCAATGAAAATGTTTCCACAAGGATTATTCATGTTGATTTCCTCTAAAATACAGTTCTTTAAAAGTAACAACACACTATTTGGAATTGCGTCAAGAACAACAGCAAATTCTCTTGGTTTAATTTAAATTTCTGGAGAAATTCAGTATATGACAACAAATATCCATGGGAATTAACCAACTGTCTTACTAAAATAATACTTTCATTGAACAAAGTATGATAGAATAAAGATTTGTTTTTAAATAGTATGTCCTTTTTATTCCATATGAAATAATTGTGGGGTGAAAAATTGTGCTTATACCAATTACCATGCGAGTAGGGCTTGTCTGTGAAAACCGGCCAATTTAACAGGAATTTTTTCGACAGAAAAATTACATTTCAACAAAAAATGTATGCCTCCAAGAGTATTAAATATATAATTAGGAAATACATTCCAAGGACTTTCTCTATTCTTCATAAACTCTATTAACCATTTAATTTGGAAAGTGTCATTAAGTGTACTATAATCTAAGACCTCAAGTTCCCCTTGCTCTTTAGGATTACAAATTACCTTCTTTTTCAAATAATGTGTTTTTTTTTTCCAAATAAAATCTAATAAAGAATCTGATCTAGATCTTTAATAATCTTAAGAGGTACATCTAATGATAATGATGTATACACAGATCTAGATATAGCTTCTGCCTTTGACAATAATACCCTCACAAATATTGACATATCCCTCATTAACCACAAATTAAATTTCTTTTTTGTTTTATCAATAATTGGATCAAAATTGAACTGACTCCTTTGTTTTTCATTTTTTACAAATTACTATACCTAGATATGTTAATTTATGTTTAACTGGAATGTTTATTACATGTTCATTAGCAATCTTTAAGGGGAAACAATACAGATTTATCTAAATTCATTGTAAGGCCTGAAACACCAGTGAATTCCTCAATATATCTAATTATTTTTGGTACTTCAAATTTGTTTTTCAAAAACACTGTAGTGTCATCAGCAAACTGGCTAAGTTTAAACTGTACACCTAAAGCTGTGATACCATTAAATTGATTTCTTTTTATATGCGATGCTAAAACCTGAGTGACTAACAAAAATAAAAAAGGAGAGAGAGGGCATCCTTGCCTAATGACACGTGTGGTACCATAAGCAAGTTTGACAGAACGTCTCAGGTTACTTATGTAACCATGGTTCCCTGAGTAGGGAACGAGACACTGCGTCCTCTAGGGGTCACTATGGGGAACGCCTCGTCGTGACCCGTGTCTGAAGCATACATTGAAAAAACACCAACTCGTTGGCCGGTGACAGCCATGACGTCACTACCGGTGCGACTATAGTATAAATAAGCGCCGGGAGCACACATCATTCACTTCTTCGTCTGAAGCTTGCGTCCGCAGCATGGCAAGAAACCTAGAGGACGCAAGTGTCTCGTTCCCTACTCAGGGAACCATGGATACATAAGTAACCTGAGACGTTCCCCTTCATGGGAACTTCGAACTGCGTCCTCTAGGGGTCGCTATGGGGGGAACGCCTCGTCGTGACCCGTGTCTGAAGCATACATTGAAAAAAACACCAACTCGTTGGCCGGCGACAGCCATGACGTCACTACCGGTGCGACTATAGTATAAATAGGCGCCGGGAGCACACATCATTCACTTCTTCGTCTGAAGCTTGCGTCCGCAGCATGGCAAGAAACCTAGAGGACGCAGTGTCTCGTTCCCTACTCAGGGAACCATGGTTACATAAGTAACCTGAGACGATTTCTTGTTGGTTCCTCCCGGCGCCTATTTATACTATAGTCGCACCGGTAGTGACGTCATGGCTGTCGCCGGCCAACGAGTTGGTGTTTTTTCAATGTATGCTTCAGACACGGGTCACGACGAGGCGTTCCCCATAGCGACCCCTAGAGGACGCAGTTCGAAGTTCCCATGAAAGGGAACTTTTGCATCCAGTATACAATGTTTTAACTGCTTTCAAAAACATATCTCCAAAACCAAACAATTGGATATCTTTGAAAATAAAACTATGGTTCACCATATCAAATGCTTTGTAAAAATCAATAAATAAAATAAAACTATCACCCTCAATAAAGTGATTATAATCGATCATATCTAAAATTAGTCTAATATTATTCCTGATATGACGGCTTTGCATAAAACCAGACTGTTCTATATCAATTATTTTGTCTAAACCAGGGGTGCCCAAACTTGGTCCTGGAGGGCCAGTGTCCTGCAGAGTTTAGCTCCAACCCCAATTAGACACACCTGAACCAGCTAATCAAGCTCTTACTAGGCATTCTAGAAACTTCCCGGCAGGTGTGTTGAGGCAAGTTGGAGCTAAACTCTGCAGGACACTGGCCCTCCAGGACCGAGTTTGGACAGCCCTGGTCTAAACCTTGCTTCAGTCTTCTAGCAAAAATCATTGCAAACACTTTACTGTCATTATTTAGCAAACTAATAGGCCTCCAGTTTTCTTTATTAGGTTTGGGAATCAGTGTTATAACTCCTTGTTTGAATTAAAAAGGCAATTCACCATTTTGTATCTTCTATAAATACTAATAATAAAAAAGATGAAATTTCTTTAGAAAAAGTATTGTAAAATTCTCCTGTTAGCCCGTCATTGCCTGGAGATTTGTTATTTTTTAACAAGTTAGTGCACTCTCTCAACTCTTCAATGTCTATTTCTTTATCACAAATATTCTGAAAGTTCTGGGGTCCGTTCTTCGTACGTCGCTAACTCAGTTAGCTGGATTTGATTGTTGATGATTTCGCTTGATCTTGGATTGGTTGGTTCTTCGAAGCTCATCCCGGAGTTGCTGTCATAGCAACTGGTCCGTAAACTTAAACCTGCTCGGGAGCAGGCTTATTTCATGTAAACATTAGATCGCGGCTTTATAAGCGGAGGTGATACGAGAAGTCTGTTGCACTTGCAGCCATGTCTTGCCCGTTTTTACGAGAGCAACCTGTTGCGGAAGGTGCGAGGATAATTCGCAAAGCTTTTCGAATTAATCGTGTTTTTCGACACAGACAGGATCCATTAGCACAGCGCGATAGTGTACTGTTTGAAAGATATCGTTTTTCACGTGAGGGTGTCATTTACATCATTAATTTGTTGGAACCTCATATTAAAAGTTCGACTCGTCGGAGTCGGGCTTTAACAACAGCACAAACTGTGTGCATCGCGTTGAGATTCTTTGCGAGTGGCACTTTCCTGTACACTATTGGGGATGCGGAGAACTTGGCCAAAAGTGCTGTCTGTCATGCCATTCGCAAAGTTTATCTGGCGCTCAAAAGGATGCCCTGAACATTGGGTCAGTTCGCATTTAATCCAAGGGCCAGCTCTTCTGCCGGGGTGTGACATGGGGGTGCAGGACCACCACCTGTTTGTTTTTGCTCTGCCTTTTTCCTAGTTGCTGGTATAAACAAGCACATCATTTCACGGTCTTTAAAAAAATAAATAAATAAATAAAAAGACTAAGAACAACATATGTAGTTAACGTTACCATTTTGTAGAATATTCTTGTATTTCACCTTTACTTGTTCCCAAGTTCTAGTGGGTCCTGTGGTGGCTCTAATATAAAAGATTAAAGTAATTATGAAAATGTACATATACTGTAATAACTGATCAGAAACATCTAACACCGTCACTACTTACGCATTTAATTGGTCTGCTATTTTTTGCCAGCCCTCTCTCCTGGCTTTTGCAGCCTTTGAGGTGTTCCCTGGCGTTTTTATTAAATTTTGGAACTCGCCATAGCCCTCCATCAAGAGTTCTTGCTCTGCCGCTGAGAAAAAGTGGGCGCGCTCTTTGGCCATTGTGAGCAACCAATAATAGCGTTGCTGATCAGTGTTTCGACTATCGATACATATCCCCTTTTAAACCAGCGCATGAACGCGCAATTATCTCACATAACTCAATCCAGCCATACTAACCATCAACAACAGGTGTGCTCGAAGAACCTAATTAGCCAGATAATGATTAGCTGGATCATATCATCTCGGATGTGTATTTTGATATCGGATGTAATAAGCGACGTACGAAGAACGGACCCCTGGTCTATTTTTTTGTTTTTGTTTTACTCACCAAGCTATTTTAAAAAGTATCAATGTTGGAAGTAGCTGATATGGAAGAGTACAAATTACTAAAAAACTGAGCAACATGTTTCGAAATAACTGAAGAATTATCTACTATTTTGTTGTTAATCATTAATTTCGAGATTTAGGCAAAGTCACTGTTTCTTTTTTCAAGGCCAAAAAAATATTTTGTATTTTTTCCCCCTTTTTCTAACCATTTAAGTCTGGATCTAATAAATGCTCCTCTTGCTTTATCGTCATAGATATTATCTAATTCAATCTGCAATAAATAAAATTTTTGTAACTCACAATCAGTCAAAGCTTCCTTTTTCTTTTTACATAAATTAAAAATGTCCTCAATAATTTATTTTTCTTTCACTTTTTTATATTTCGCTTCCAATTTTCCTTGATTAATAAATGCCATTCTAATATCAAATTTCAAGGGTTAGTTCACTCACCCTCAAGTCATCCTAGGTGCATATGACTTCCTTCTTTCAGACGAATCCAGTCGGAGTTATATTAAAAATTGTCTTTGATCTTTCAAGCTGTTTAATGGCAGTCAGCAGGTGTTGCATGCATCAGTCCAAAAGAAGTGAAATAAAGTTCAGCGGGTGTTGCATGCATCAGTCCAAAAGAAGTGAAATAAAGTGCATCCATCCATAATAAAAAAGTGCCTCACACGGCTCCTGGGGGTGAACAAAGGCCTCCTGTAGCGAATCGATGCGTTTTTGTAAGAAAAATATCCATATTCAAAACGTAATAATCACTTTAATCTAGCTTCCGCTTGTCGGAGAATGTGCTAACAGCCGTAATAAATAATAGCGATATCTATGGAGTTTTAAGATAATCAGTTAAACTAGCTAGCTGTTTTTATTGTTGACATAAAACTGCTTCATATTTAACGAAGCATATGCAAAACGCTTTAACCGGAAGGGGCGAGACCAAGTTAACAGAATACGGAAGTCTGTTGCGCATAACCTCTATTAATGCTGTCACATAACAAATCTGCTTCAAAGATAAAATTACATGAATTGCTAATTACAACGTTGAAATAAGTAAAGCCTGTACAAATACTATAGAAATCGTGAATATAAATTATTGGGAATCATGTAAAAAAAATAAAAACAGTGCACATTTAATTTATCTAATATAAAATGTTCATTACGTTGCTGTCTTGCCGCCAGCCAATCGCTGCATTGCTGATCGTGGTTTCGAGTATCGATACATCTGCCCTTTATGGGGAACACAAGAATGTGCAGTAATCTTAGACAACTTAATCCAGATATTTTAATAAAATCCTCAAATTCGTTTGAAGAACCAAATTAGCCAGAGATCAGTTATCACGATTAAAAGATCTGGCATCTTTCAAATAATCTCAGATGTATTATGCGAGGTACGAAGAACGGGCCGGTTTGTTTTCCTCCCATGGCATAAACAGATATGACGTTTCTGTGGGCGTTCCCAGTAATGCCGACAGACGGTGCGTTCCAAACACTGATCTATCTGTATGACCATTTAGGCCTAGGCCTACATGCTCAGGAGGTTTGCGTTGTAAGAATGTACAGTGATACTTCCGATATAAAAACGCTGACTCGTTAGGTGATGTTTTCTCATCTCTTTTGGAACTGTCCATTTACAAAGAAATTTTGGCAAGATGTTTTAAGTTTCATTAGGAGTAACATTTATGATGAATGTATTCTGTTTTGGAAGGACATAGTATTGGGTTTTATTGAGTATGAACAATCTAATAGGAAACAGTTTCATGTAGTGAATCTCAAAATTTCACATCCATAGATGCAAATATTCAAACTCCAGACCTCTCTTTCTTTCAGACATCTCTTTCTTCCCCTTTTTCTTTTTTTCTTCTTCTTCTTCTTCTTCTTCTTTATTTGTTTTTACTTCATTTTTTGCTATTATTGTTTATCACTTTTATGTTGATGGTTGTATTATTTTTTGTGTACTGTTCTTGATTTTTGAGCATTAATAAAAAAAAAAGAAAAAGAAAAAAAAAAAAGATCAGTGGTTCCAAACAAGTTCGACTTCGCTTATAAATGTATGTATAGTATTTTTCTATACTACTGTAATATTTTTACGAGTTAGATTTGGTACATTATTATGGTTAAAATGACATTGTACTTCAACAAAAATACTTTACAGCTACTTTTATCAGTCCATTCAAATGTTTCAAATACTGTACATAGACAAAATATACATTACAAATGCATATTACATTACATTTCATATACAAATATACATTTTATTTAACGTAAAAGATGAATGGGGGTCAAAAGCGTACAAAATGTATGACAAAGGTGCCTCCTTGATCGTCTCATTAAGATGACGCAGAAGTGCATTCCAAAAAATTTTTTTTTTACCCCTACACCCTTCACCCCTACACGATGAGCCCTTCTGAATGGATGAAAGTCAATTGGCAGCGAGTGTGTTTTGGGACTCAGTCTGACACTGTAGTCAAAAGCCTTTTTCAAATATTGTGCACCTTTAACCTAGTGATTGCTATCGGAATGTGAAGTGACTTTCAACCAGCATAAGAAAAAAATTTTTTTAAACCAAATGACCTACCTCGCCTTCCATAATAAGGGCTCAAGCAGAGCGGTTTGTCGCAAATATTAAATGTAATTTCTATTGTTGTCCATTGTATCATTCATATCTAATAAGACATGTAAATCAAGTAAATTACAAAAATTACACAAAGTAATGACTGTCATGATTACTTAAAAAGAAATGTATGACTAAATAAATAATAAATAACAAATTTGTTTCTGTTTCGCTATAGGCTATGTAAGGGCAAAAAAAAAAACAACAACTTATAAAACACCTGAATTATTTTTGTAAGAAAACAAATAAATAAATAGATTATTTAATTAAAGTTAATAAGGCACTTTATCCCAAGATAGTGGTTAACTTACCTCCCATATTAGTTATAGTTAGTTATATTGTTTTTAAACATCTATAATGCAAAGAAAATCTATAATGCCAAAAGACTGCAAGAACTAATTGACAAGAGAACTCTACATTTGCTTTCAATGAAAATAATAACTAAACTTTTGAATAATAAAGCTGATAATATTTCCCTGCATCCCTAGAATAAATGTTGAATAGTCTGGAAAACCATTTCAGACCATCTGATTGTTAAGGCCAGTAAAATGAAGACTGGAGCTTGTTTCCACACTTTTTAATCAAGTGAATATTTCTCAGGCTAAATGATTTTTTAATTTCTGTATAAACACAATCCTTAAAATCCTGACTACAGAAAAGATGCAGTTAATTTCAAAACATGTTGACCTTTTGTAATTACATACAACAGTTTGAGTATATGATTGCCTTTATATCTTTTTACTCTTCTGGGTTTCTCCAAAGAATTTCTATGTAGTAATGAAGTCTCTCTCTGGGGAACATAGTTTAGTGCAGTGGTCTTCAATCTTGGTCCTAGGGACCCATCGCTCTGCACATTTTGCATGTCTCCCTTTTTTAACACACCTGATTCAGATTATCAGTTCGTTAGGAGAGACTCCGTGGACTGAAGAGATGTGTAGAGCCGTGGGTCAACAGGACCAGGATTGAAAACCACTGGTTTAGCTGATTATTTCCATTAAAATTGTTGCTTTTGCTCTGACAGCCACATGAGGGCGACAGACATCTTTTGGTATCTGGACAGGGTACATGAACGACATGAAATTATTGACATGATTTGATCGATGTGTAGGATTTTCTTAAAGGGTTGATTCAGATTATCAGTTCGTTAGGAGAGACTCCGTGGACTGAAGAGATGTGTAGAGCCGTGGGTCAACAGGACCAGGATTGAAAACCACTGGTTTAGCTGATTATTTCCATTAAAATTGTTGCTTTTGCTCTGACAGCCACATGAGGGCGACAGACATCTTTTGGTATCTGGACAGGGTACATGAACGACATGAAATTATTGACATGATTTGATGGATGTGTAGGATTTTCTTAAAGGGTTGGTTCACCCAAAAATGAAAATTAACCCATAAATTACTCACCGTCAAGTCATCCTAGGTGTATATTCTTGAAAGATCAAAGACAATTTTTTATGTAACTCCGACTGGATTCGTCTGAAAGAAGAAAGTCATATACACCTAGGATGACTTGAGGGTGAGTAATTTATGGGCTAGTTTTCATTTTTGGGTGAACTAACCCTTTAAGTAAAATTTATGTTTTGGTTATGAAAACTTGTTCTAATATTAAACAAATAGTGTAAAACATCAGCAGCACATTTGCCATTGCATCACTGCAGGAAAAGATGTCTCTTAACTGTCCTTTTGAACTATTGTTTATCTGCCACTTCAGTAATAAGACTTTTCTCACTCTTACATTGTAGAAGAAGAAAAGGCTGACTGCTACAGCAAAACAAATAAATAAATCATGAGCTACCTTTTTGAACACCACAGCAAGTAGAAAATGTTTGTAAAATATGTTGTATTTAATGTAACTTCAGTTGACCTGTGTCACATCAGTTGAGCAGATGGTCCTTCAGCATCGGTCAAGTGTTAACTGAATGCAGAAACATGTAGTTTGTACAGTATGAAAAACAGTACTTCTATATGGAACATCACAATAAAACATGGAAACCCAGTGTGTGTGTGTGTTTGTATCTCACTTGTACAGGAAAGAAGGTATTGCGTAGTCTCGTATTTGGTTCAGTACTCACAATTGAAGTTACCCATCTATCTATGCAATACAGTGGAATACTGCAATATTGTTAGTATATGACCCTACTC